ACAGGGCAGCACTTCTTATTCAAAGCCAACAGCTGTTTTGACTGCTGTTAAAGAAACAGTGTCAAACTCTGGAGGTCATGTCACATTACGTGATCATCACAATGAAAGGAAGTTCAAACTCTTGCAAAACCTTGTCACAACCATCTAGCTTCACATCGTACAGGGGCGCGTTTCCCGAAAGCATCGTTAGCCAACTATGGTCGCAAGTTCCGTCGTTACCAATAGAGTTCAATGGAAATTGCAATCATAGTTGGATAACGATGCTTTTGGGAAACACACTCCAGATTGGAAGACAAGTCTTAAAGGTGACTGGCCAAAAACAGGAAGATTTTGACAGAATTGAGCAGACTTCTGCATTACAAAACTCTAAATTGGGAAATGCAGAACAAAGGGTTGCTAAACACCCTCTTGTTCACAACATCTGTTAAATGCTTCAACTGTAGCATCTTCCACTCTCGCCTCCCTAGGGCAGGACCTCTTAAGAGGCAGATGTTTGGCTTGAAATGGGGACCACGGACAGGCCCTCTTTTCAGTTGGTAAACATGGTGAGGTTTTTTTTGTGGGCGGAGCTTAGGTGGAGGCAGAACGATCCCTCTGGCCGCTTCCCAAACGTTAGTTAACGAACAAAGAACAGGGAAGCAGGATTTGATTATTCTACTAATATATATATATATATATATATATATATATATATATATATATATATATATATATATATATATATATATATATATATATATATATATATATATATATATATATATATATATATATATATATATATATATATATATATATATATATATATATATATATACACACATACATACATACTACTAGTCAAATGTTTGGAATTTTTTTTATGTTTTTGAAAGAAGTCTCTTATGCTCACCAAGGCTGCATTTATTTGATCAGAAATGTGGTAAAATCAGTAACGTTGTGAAATATTATTACAATTTTAAATAATTATTTTCTATTGGAATATATATTTAAATGTAATTTATTAATGTGATGGTAAAGCTGAATTTTCAGCATCATTACTCCAGTCTTCAGTGTCACATGATCCTTCAGAAATCATTCTAATATGATGATTTGATGCTCAAACAACATTTCTTATTATTATCAATGTTGAAAATCAGTTTTTGCTGAATATTTTTGTGAAAATCGTGATACACTACCATTCAAGAGTTCGGGGTATATACTTTTATTCAACAAGGATGCATTAAATCGATGAAAAGTGTCAGTAAAGACATATACAAAAGGTTTATATTTCCAATAAACGATGACTTTCTATTCATCAAAGAATCCTAAAAAATGTATCACAGTTTCCATATAAATAATAAGCAGTAAAAGCTATTATTTCAATATTGATAATAAGAACCTTTATTAATAACGGAGTACCAATAATAACTGATATTTATTACATTGATTTCTGAAGGATCATGTGACACTGAAGACTGGAGTAATGATGCTGAAAATACAGCTTTACATCACAGGAATATCTTAAAGTAAACAATTATTTTAAATTATAATAATATTTCACAATGTTACTGATTTTACTGTATTTTTGAACAAATAAATGCAGCATTGGTGAGCATAAGAGATTTTTTTTAAATACATAAAACAATTATAACTGTTTAAAACTTATGAACGCTAATGTAATTAAAAGATTTTCAGTTTTTGCGCTTGTGGTGACGATTCGACAGTGTCCAAAATGTACTTTTTGCTACATCTGCTAATATATATATATATATATATATATATATATATATATATATATATATATATATATATATATATATATATATATATATTTTTTTTTTTTAAATATCATTTTGTCATGATATAGAAAAGACTCCTGCAGATGACTTTGTGTCAAAGTCAACAAGTCTACTAAAATATCAGATAATTTGACCTTTTTATTCTCAATCGAGAATAGTAACACATCCTGAATATTAATAATGCAACGTTTCAGGTCAGCTCATTGACCTCAGCTTGCTGAACAAAACTCACACTGCTGTGCTTATGTGCATATTTCAGTAAGAAAAAAAAAAGAAAAAAAAACCTTAATTCCAATACTGGCATGTGGCAATATTTCATATGAATTTAGGTTGAATATATACACTAGCAAATATCAACTGCTTGATAGTTTATATCATTGTAAAATGTAAAGGCTATTATTGCCCAGCTCTAATCTGCTAAATGCTACTATAAAGCATGTAGATATTTAGGCTATGTCCGCATAAAACGGAAGTTGCATCAGTCTTTATCAAAAAAAAAAAAAGTGTACACAAATAAATAATGTATAATAATTACTGCAATATTCCATAATAAAATAAGAATTGTCCACTTTGACTTCATTGTGATATTAAGACAAACATGTTTTTATTTTAAGCGAATTACAAATAATTAGTTTGACTTTTTAAGGTACTTTAAAAACTACACTTTCCAGGCATTCACTTTTAATGAATAGCCTACCAATAATAAAAGTGTTTTGGCAGAATATGGGGGACTTCCATTTTGGCACTTGTCAACAATACCAGCCATTGTTATGACAACTCTTACAGCCACAGTGACCTCTTTTACTGTCTGACAGTGACTAGTCACATTTTACACTTTTACAATGAAAGAAAATGGTTTAAAGGAAAATGAAGTCTGCAGTAATATCTGACATAACTTTGAAAAAATGTGCTATTTGATTAATTGCAATGAAACATTGATGTCCTTTGTAAAAAGTTGGATTGATATAATTATAGCTACTAGATATGAATAACAAAATAGTTTGCTTTGTGTTATTATTCGCAGTTCATTCATGTGCTACGTCAACTCATAATAAAAACCGGGATCGCGCTATCATGGAGTCATAGAGGAAAGCTTCCTGAATAAAAAAATAAACCAACTGACAGATTATTTGAGTAGAAATATGATGTTGAAGTACAACGCTGGAGTCTGACATTAAAGCGTGTTTCAGTCTCCAAATGATATATATTAGTAATGTATCGATCAGGTCATGTTTCAGCCACCTGAGGATCATGATTGAATGAATTAAAAGCACATTAAACGTGAATTTCAGACGTTATCCGAGTAGGCCAGCTGAAACAAACATACGATTGAGCTACTTACGAATTTCCCAAGAATTCATGAAATTTTATCTTGCCGATTGTAGTCTCTGCATCAAAGTTAGGTAACACGTCTCCCAACAGAATTCCAGGCATGACTGTTGTATTCAGCGAGTCTGGTCTCTCTGTAGTCGGCAGTCGGCACATGTAACCATGGAATGGAGGTTATTATGTAGCAGGAAGACAGGGGAGTGGGCGGTTCTGATTGGACGAAACACCACCACATCCCTAAATTCAAAGATTAAATTCGGTTTAAAATTTATTTTCAGTGTTTATAATTCAAACGTTTTGTAGATTATGTAAAAATGCAATCATGTCTTTTCTGCACAATCATTATTTTATCATTGCATATGAACTACATAGATGCATCATTAGTAAGCATATAGTAAGCCGTCCGCCATATTTGAACGGTCAAAACACCGGTCCGTGAACTACTCAAGAGCAAGTTGTCGGTGCATCTCCAACTTATATTTACAATAGACTTCAGCAGATGATTTTGCTAGACTAACACAATACAACAAGACGAAGGCGTCAGCTAATACGACGTTAAAAAAAGTTCCAATAGTGTAAAAAACTATAATATTGAGGTAATACATGTAAAAACACAAACAAACAAATTATCACATGCGAAATGTTGAGGTTTCACAACCAGAAGCTACACAATGTTATGGCACCATCATTGATTCTACTGTGAATGATGACACGCCGACCGTTCCAACATGGCGGGCGCGCTGACGCGTCTGGAGCAGTCGAATGTGGCTTCTACGTATACATATGCAAAGTAACCACGCTCTCTCGGCTTCTATCTGTCAGTTTATTCAACAATCTTAAATAAAGACATACACTTTAGTTAAAATATCAGACAGCTGCTTTCTTCATGTTGATTTTTTCTTCATGTTGGTGTTTATTATAACTATTGTGTGGTTTTGACATTATAGACCAGTGCTGTAGTACTTCAACACAATTGCATAAATTAGTTGTTTGTATTTTTTAATGTATAACATATTTATTCTCATATCGTATGGTAAGTAAAACACAAGAGACCTATCACATCATAACACAAAGTTTAAACAAAATATGCAGCGATCTGTCTTAAACTTCTAACATGTGGTATGTTATACATGAGTGACATATTTCAAAATTTGATTTAAAAGAAACCTATGCAAACATGCTAAGTTCAAATCTGAGTTTTAATGAAAGTGTTGTTGTTGTTGTTTTTTGCTGCTGTTTTTAGTCCACTTTTGTATTCTAGGGCAGCGGATTTCAAACTGGAGTCCAGAAGTGCTAGGGGGAAAAGTTTAGAGAAAAGCAGTGTAATAATAATAATAATAATAACTAAACAAATACATTAGATTAAAACAATAAATTGATTAAATTAAATAAATGCATTTTGAATTAAATAAATAAACAAAAAATATTAAAATAAATTAAATTTGTAAAATGTATAAATTAAATGTAATGCAATTTATAATATATATATTTTCCACAGTATATAACTGCCTTTTAAATTTAATTGTAAGATGGGGGTCCCTCGTATGATCATTGGTGTTAAATAAGTAATTATTGAATTATGTAATAATATATATATATATATATATATATATATATATATATATATGTGTGTGTGTGTGTGTATATATACCTTTTACAGTCTTTGTTAAATATATATATATATATATATACACACACTCACACACATATATATATATATATATACACACATATATATATATATATATATATATATATATATATATATATATATATATATATATATATATATATATATATATATAATTAATACATAATATACAATACTAATAATAATGTTAATTTATTTTGTAATTTGGTCACATGGTTGAATCAAACATGTTTTCCCAGTGTGCACTGCGCAGACTGAGCTGCAGTTCAAAGATGGCGCTGCGGGGAAGTCCAGTCAAACGAGTTCTCTGTCATCACCTGTAAAACGATGACCTAAGAAAAAGACGCATCCAAAAGCTATTTAATAAAACAGAAGACGTTCTAGTCTGTCTTGGTATTAGTGAGGTAAAATGCCTTCTCCTAAAGCGCGGAGCGGCTCGGGGCGCAGCGGCAGCGTCCCGTGCGCCGGTGGAAACGGGCGCTATGAGTTCATTTCTCTGAGCCGAACTCCCCCCCCGCCGCAGCTGCTGCAGAGGCAGGGCTCAGACCCCACCGCGGCCCGGCTCAGAGCCTCCGAGAGCCCCAGCCGACGCCGCGGATCGGGCTCGTCCACCTCCTCCACCGGCGGCGGGCAGCAGTTACCGGAGGAGGACTGCATGAAGTTAAACCCGTCTTTTTTCGGTATAGCGTTCAGCTCCCTGCTGGCCATCGACCTGTGGCTGTCGAAGCGGCTCGGGGTGTGCGCCTGCGAGGACTCGTCCTGGGGCAGCGTGCGGCCGCTCATGAAGCTCATCGAGATCTCTGGGCACGGGATCGCGTGGCTGGCTGGTGCCGCGTACTGCCTGTATAAAAGCGACAGTGTCGCCGGTCAGGAGGTCATGCTGAACCTGCTCATGGGTAATGCGCTCTTATTATCTTACAAAGAAATGCTCGTGTTTAAAAATTACACTATAGACCAGGGGGTTTCAATCTTTTAGATGCCACGGACCGCATGTGAGGGACCCCCATCCTAAAATTTAAAAGGCAGTTTTATATTTTCAAACATAAAGACTCACATAATATTGTGGAAAAATGAGCATTATACATGTCGATTACGACATACATTATATAAATTCTGTGTAGGCTAGCCTACTGTGCTGTGAAATGTGTTATTTATATATATATATATATATTAAAAATGTTTTGGTTTATTTATTTAAATCAAAATGTTTTTATTTTAATTAAATTTATTTAGTTAGCTAATTTAATTTTTCTATTATTATGTATTCATATTATTTATATATGTTTCACACTGATTTTCTGTAATCTTTTACACGGACCCCCTCTCTTGTGGCCCCCCGGGGCCCCAGTTTGAAAACCCCTGCTATAGACTCGCCACTCAGTTTGTAAATCAAACGGAATTTAGAAGTGCAGTGACGCTCTTGCAAGTGGAAGTCAACGGGGGAAGGTGTTCAGACTGTTTAAAATTAGAAAGGTGTAGCCCTTTTTAAATTTTATTCTTCTGCACAAAATGTGTGGTTTTTTTGTGCTGTAACGTCTAACTACAGTAGCTTTTTGGATGTTCTGATGTAAGTGAATTTTTCAGTGAACCCTTTTCCTTGTATCCTTGTGTATATCGCGCTAAAGTTAGTGTTTACGTGTTAACGATAAAAGTTAAAAACTGATATAATTCTATTTTGCACAGCCAATGTTGGTGAGCAATTCTATCACAGTAGTTTTGTGTGGTGTATAATCTCTAAGTCTTGTGGCTATACTTTTATTTTAACATCTATTCTGGGTCAGTGCCTTGCCTCATAGACTGACAGTAATGCAGTTACAATGCATGTGAATTGAGGAACGAGTCAAAATGATTTAGCCACTAATCTTTTAGGATTTTCTCATTTAAAAAGACCGGCTTCACAATTCACATTTGAGGTATACCCTTTTTTTTTTTTTGTAAAGTCATTACATGATCATCCATACATCTGCATCTGCTCTTTTGTTTAGCCACAGCTAATGTCCATCTAATAGGCTGGCTTCACTTTTGGGTTCTTTCTTATACACTTCTGCATTCCCTACTCTTTCTGGTCCTTTTTCAGGCTCATTTTCTTTGATGTATGAAGCAAATCATAACCCACTTCCTCTGCTCCCGCCTTCCCAATGAAACATCCCTGATCTTTTCTTTTGGACCTCTCTTTCCTTCAAGTGTTTTCAGTAGCAGGGGGATCTGCAGGTGAGGCAGTTTTCCATTCATTCTGGCTTTCCTTTATTGATGTGACTTATTGGCAACCCATTTAAATTGCGAAAGGCTTCTTGGTTGTTGCTGCCAAGAGATCCAGATTTATTAATCATGATTCTCCACAGTATTCCCAGAGGGAAAATGGAGTGATAATCGCTCACTTACCGATCCCGCTACGGCGATTGTCATTCCCCTCGCGCCCTTGTTGCTTTGACATCCCATTCACTAACGTCGACAGGTTTTAAAACTACAACTGAGCTGAATGGCCTATACTCAGCTTGTTTCTGAAATACAGAGATATGCACAGGTCCTGCAGCCATGCTTGATCTCTTTCCAGAGATTTCGCCCTAATTTAACATCTTTTATGAAACATTTAATTAATCCTGGTAATCATAAGCCTTGTGTTCAGAGGCAGCTTTAATCAATCAACGTATTTTGAAAAGATCTTTCCACTCGTCACTGTGGAAAAAATGTCTTTCGTATATAATCAAGTGGAGTTGGCCTTGATGGTTTAATGGTTCCTATGAACAGGACCTGCTAAAATGGGTCTACAGTATCATATATCATATTCTCTGTTGTTACAAGAAAGAATACCTTATATATCAATTCAGTCAAACATGATTGAACAGCTGTAGAGCTATAAAATACAAAGTTTTTTCAGAGATTTGGTGTGCATTAAAAGAAAGTGGGGGTGTCAGACTCATTACAATACATTCCCTTCCAGAGAAATAAAAATGAATACACTACTTCATTAGTCATATTTAATGCGACTTTTCGGATGCCACACAAAAAAAACGCTGGATAGAAATCCCAAGTTTTAAAATTTTAAAGGTTTTGGCAATTTTAAAGATGTTAAAGGTGCTCTGTAACTTTTAGCGGCCTCTAGTGGTGATGTTTCAGATTGCAACCAAGTTTTACAAGAGCGCTCGTGCTCGAACTCATAGACAATACCGTCTATTACGCAAATATCTCGGCGAATACTAGACGGATTCGGCGAGCACCGAGCTCGTTGGGAACATCTAGTCGAGCTGAAAAGAACCATATAAGTTCCATAGTTTTTGGTGGTGTTTTCGCGGAGATATTAGCAGAAAACCATCGGGCGCGCTGCAAAATTGCGGACGCCGGTGACGTCACGATCTCAGAAGAAAATCGCACGTATCTCTGGAACGCAAAGACCCAGAGAGCTCAAATTCGGGGGAGGAGGTCCCAGGGGAACCCTTGCCCGAACACTAGAGTGGCGGGCCTCGGGGATGCCCCCTACCGGATCGCCGTTCGCTGGGACCCCCGATTTCGAACGGCTATAACTCGGGGAGCCGGGCGAGTTGGACCTCGGGGGTGGGCTAGTTCGAAAGGCCCCGTCCAGCACTACGAACGATTAGAGTCTTGGGAATACTGATCAAAGATTGACTGAGATATAAGCCGAAAAATATGCGCCTTTAACCGGACGTCACTCCCTGACCGTCTACAATAGACTGTATATAAGGAGAGAGGCTCGGGAGCGCGCATGCACGTCACATCCAGTGTTGGGTATAGTTACTTTTGAAAGTAGTTAATTAGGTTACAACGTTACCATCAATTAAAAGTAATCAGTTACGTTACAGCGTTATCTATTTATAAAAGTAACGCGTTAGAGTACTCATGCGTTACCAAACATTAAAAGCCGTTTGCAGCGCCTCACACATGCTGCAGCTTAATTGACAGACACGGCCCCCTTTAAATGCACCTAGAAGTCGTGACTCCTGGCAATGAATAACGTCAGTCATCCGACTAAATTAACACTGCGGGATAACAATAACAGGAAAGACAGTCATCAATAGGCTCACATAGCGTTTTATTTATTTATTATCACAGAACATATTAATTAATTAACAAAATGCACATTCCCAGCCCGGGTAGCCTAGGCTATATGAGCACCATAGAACAAGATAACTCCTGATTTTAACTTTAACTCTAATGCAGTTAGAAATGAACAACCAGTCAACGATCTAACAGAAATTAACAGCTGTCTGTCAAACAAAAATAATTACAAACTGAATAAAATCATTCACTGCCACACAGGCAAATGACAAATCGCTTAATAGCCGAACTAAATATAAATAAAGTGTAACAACGTTTGTGACTCACCTAAATTCGCTTTAACATAGTCCTCTTACATTTACTCTTCAAAGTAGTGATTAAAACGTAGAAGAAGCAGATTTTCGAAACGTTTGTCCGACAGTCGATTTCTCCTGGGAGTAAGAACGAGACTCCCGAGGCTGAAAAGTCTCTCCACGGGTGCGCTGGAGGGTGGTGGGGTATTGAAGCGCAGAAACACTGTCTTGATCCTGGGGAACTTGTTCAACATATCGATCTCGACACCTGACTTAAAATACTCAGCAATTTCAGTGTCCAACGTCTCTGAGACCTGTCTGTCCTCTGTAAATAAAAAAAAGTCGGTCTCGACGGCGTCTCCTCCGCTGACGGGTGCAGGTGGCCGTTCCTCAAGCAGCGGATGCTCCAGCGCACGGCACTCGGCAGCAAGCAGCACCTTGGCGGCGTCTTTTTTAGTCTCATCTTTTATCCAGCGCAGTTTGAATTTAGGAATGGTCACTGCAGCCAGCAGGGCCTCCTTGCTGTCCAGCGTGGATGCAAAGCGTGTCTTTATGGCCTGCAAGATACAGGCAGGCACATCGAAATTAGTTTAAAACATGCAGCGTAAATCTTAGAAACAATGTTTTAGTAAAGCTTGTAAGATATGAGCAAATACAAAAAACAGACGAACAAACAATTTTACCTCAACTATAACATCAGGCAGGCCAGATGTCATCCGGGAGAGACTGTCTTTTAAATCCACCGTTTTTGCCATCAGGGCCTCCAGTGTCGGCAGGATAGTTCCATAAAAACAGTTTTCCTCCCCTTGAAGAATATCTAGGGCCATGGCCAGCGGTTTGAGAATCATGCAGTACTCTTTAATAAACTGGTACTCCCTGTCAGTAATGCACCTGATGCCCAGCTGGGTGCATAAGTTGTGCAGGTCAGTGATGGGGATGTCCATGACCCTGCACAAAGCCTCATAAAAAGAGTTCCATCTGGTCGTCGTGGGAACCAGCAGCTTTCTCCTGCTGAATTTTTCCACAGTTTCTGATGCATATGCTGATCTGCTTGCTTTGGTCCAGAGTGCCGAACATTTAGCAATAACACTCCTGTATACTGCTCTTGTGTCACTGTTGGAAGACAGCCATTTTTCTATGTCAGTGGTGGATATCAGATTTAGCGTATGAGACGCGCATCTGTGGTGAGGAGGGAGACTGATCATGCCATCACCATCAGAGCTTGACAGCACATCGTTTATATCCTCAAAAGTGACACTTTCACTCCGATCTTCCTCCTCCTCCTCCTCTGAGTCCGAGGCTGTTTTGTGAAACACCTTGAACGCCTTAACAAAATTAGATCCATTGTCAGTTACAGTGGCTGTCACTTTCCCACCAAGGCCATATGACGTATGAATTTGCTCGATCTCCCCTGCAACTACATCATGCGTGTGCCGTCCTCTCACCCGCCTACATGCGATTGCAGCTTTCCCCCGCTTCAGAGTAGGGATGCATCGATCCGATACTCAGTATCGGTATCGGCTCCGATACTGCCATTTTTGCCGGATCGGGTATCGGTCAGAGGAGGCCGATCCAAATCCGATATTGTGCGTATTATTCTGTGTTATTGTTAAGCCCCACAAAAGGCACAAAAACATTATCAAGTACCATAAAGTTTTCGTGCACTATCTTATAAGTGTTCTGAAGCCATTATATAGTATAATGTGAGATAAAAATTAATATTTAAGTCATTAAATTCAAGACCTCGTAAACTTTTTCCCTCTGCTGCGGCTGTCAGTCATTCTCCATTCAGCATTTAACAGCGCGTCGCGTTCTGTTACGACAGGCAACACGATGAAACTCTCCAAGATCAAGATGATTCAATGTTACTATTATTATTCTTGATCTGTAGATAAAGGTCTATGGTTTCGCATAAAACAACTTTATATTGCTGGACTTTATTGCTGTAACTAAATCATGTTACTTTCTACCGGGCGTCTGTTAGATCGCAACAGAGTAGCCTAGAGTCAGAGAGCACTATAATTGTTCTTCACGCGCACAGTAACTGAAATTTAAAACTGTTAAAAGAAAAGGCTCAATAAACGATTGCATAGATACTGTGTATAATACACTACGCATCGATATGTCTTTCCTTTGTGCTTTGAACTGTTCAATGTGGACTCGACGCGCTGCGCGCTGTGACTCTCTGTTGCTTCAAGCGCATCATTCTGCGCTCGGGATGCGCATAAGCGCTGTGTGCCGCACTGTATTGGATCCTTTCATAATCATATAATACTACTTTTGCGCAATGAAAGATTATTAATAGCCTTTCTTGTTCTGTCCTATCTATCATATGTTGCTGCCTCATTAAACAGCTGTGCTATACATTTAAAACATGTCTCAATTTTATAGTAGCCTAGCCATAGGCTAGGCCCTATATATAATAATTTATCTTTTTGATTTTTGTTATCTTGTTTTTCATGAATGTATTTTACAACAATACAAAGAGCAATGTGTAATGTTTGACCAGATTTAGTGTTACACTTATTGTCTCTTATTTGTTCCCCTAAATTTTCTTCACTAAATGTTCAGATTTTATACAATTATTGTGCACTCATGATTTTTCTAGACTAAATTGCACTGCTGAATTATCCACTAATCTAGTTTATTATAGCATTTTTGTCACAGATTATGATCATATATTTTTTGGATTTGTTGTTTTTCTTTAAAATTAAGTTGTCTGTGTTAAGTAGATTGTGTTTAACACACAAAAGAGTGATTATCAGTTCAACACACAGAGTTATAGAAATTCTACTTGATTTAAAAAAAAAACTGCACTGGTATCGGATTGGTATCGGTATCGGCCGATACTCAGAATTTTGGGATCGGATCGGATCGGTTTTGAAAAAGCGGTATCGTTGCATCCCTACTTCAGAGTGGATGGATGTATCCAGTGTGCCGTCATTCCCATGAAGCTCTTATTATTAGCTGTCCACAAATCTGCCGTGGTAGAAACAAATTCCAGTTCTTCAAACGTTTTTTTCAGTTCTTTCTCCATGTCTGTGTAGGATTGTCCAGATAGCTTGCAAATGTTTTGCGGTCAGGCACGGTTCCCTCTGTGTTACGTGTAGTTGGGATTTTACTGATTAATCTACGGAAAGATGGAGACTCCACAGTGTTAATTGGAAGCATCTCCTCAACTACATAACCGGCCACAAGTTTGTGAACTTCACTGATGGGGACTGTTTTAGCGGAGTTAAAACTCAAACGCTGTTGCTTTGGAGCTGGTGCACCACCGTCGTCCTCCTCAGCAGGCTTTGCTACCAGAGTGCTAGTTTGGTGTTTGGATGTGAGATGTTTTTTTAAATTTGAGGTAGAATTTTTGGCGGTCGACAGAAGCTTTTCACCAACGCAGAGTGTGCATTTTACCGTTATGTTCTTTTCCTTTTCGTTGACAAATTGAAAATAATGTGCGTACTTCCATCCTGCGAACGCTGTCCTCTCTGCCATCTTGCCGGGAGTTCGAAAAAAACACACACACACACACACACACACAGGGGGGGGGGGGGGGGGGCACAGACGTATCACAGCCATTGACTTTATGATTACAGCGCTTCGGCTCCGCTGATACATCCGCAGGTGGCACAGTAGACCTAGGCATACTACTGTCAGACAAAAAACAGGCTGCAGTCGGGATTTTCCTTTCCTTAAAATAACGGATTACTTTTAAAAAAAAATAACGAAGTTACTGATTACGTAACTCACAAAAATAACGCGTTAAGTTACACATATCACGAAAAAGGTAATTAGAGTACTCTTAACGCGTTACTTTATAACGCGTTACCCACAACACTGGTCACATCCGTTGGATTTCGCGGTAAATCCGACCCGGAGACTTCACATAGAAATAGGAATACTGGCCTTCAGAGGTAATAGCAAAACTCGACAAGTGGATCATTTTAATGTGTGATTACAACCCCTTCACACACAGGCAATAAAAAAAGGATTCATTTTAGTAGAAAAGTTACATAGAGCACCTTTAAGTAAATGAGCAGCGATGAACGTGTGACCATGACTTCATTAATTTACTGTATATCTGTGATTGAATGCATGTGTGGATATGATATAATGTTACTTTTGCACAAGTAGCCTATAGAAAATGGTAATGCGCAATTTGCACAGCTCCTTTGAGTAGCCCAAATGTTCTATGTACTTTTTGTCTTTTACCTGTCTTAATCTTGTGCTTTTGTGGTTTCTCTGTTGTAACCCTTGCAGCAATTTCTCTAGGTCCAAAACGAATTTCTCCTTGGGGAGACAAATAAAGATACTTTGACTTTGACCAATTTCATTGCACACTATCTCAAATGTTGGTTTGGTTTGGTCTCGCATGATTGCGAGACCAAACCGTTCCCAAACACCAGGCGTCCTCCTCCTAATGCAGAATAACATGGCTCACGCTGAAGTCATTTATAATGAATGAAAAAAATAGCCACAGTGGCTTCCTCAATTGCAGAAACTTCCATTTTTATTACTGATATTTTCTCAGGAAATCGTGATTTTGTTCTGTTGAACACATGGGATGGAAACTGTGCTTTATTTGTAGATGTTTTATTCGATATTCTAATTTTGTGTGCATGTTAAATTCCTGGCATTGGATGGAAACATAGCCATTGACTGAATGCATTTGGCACTGAACTGAGCGGGCGAGTGTGCGGTGTTATTTAGAGAAAGGCTGTAAAGATGTATGTGTGTTATTGGCAGATAAATCATATTAAGTGCTTGCTGCTGATATTGTCATTGCTGCGTGGGATTATCACTTTGCTTTTCCTTGACCATGTATTATGAACAAATCTATATGCAGAAAAACCAAGGATATCCAACGATTTTCTGGAATTACTGGTGCTTGTTATGGAAACTAGGGCAAAAGCGGCTAGTTGTGCAGTCTGTATTAAATGTGATTGAATAAAACTGTAATATGTGTGAAATTATTTATACCATAAACATAAAGAGAATTCCATACTGTAAGTAAGCAAGCACAATGAACATTATAACTGAAATATAATCAGTTGAATTGAATTGCATCAAGCGCTTGTGAATTGAATCAGGAGATCTGTATTGATACCCAGCTCCAAGGTTTTGGCCATTAAGGTATCCATCAATTGCGGGGGTTCCCAAATTATTCTGTCAGCCGATCCCCTTCAAAGTAAAATATTAATATTTCTATAATTTAACATTGTCACAATTTTCTAATGTTGGCTAATGGTCATGATATGCAAGTAGACATAACATGTCTAATCTATTTTTAGTATGTGTTTTATTTGTATTATTTTTCATTTTTATCATTTGTTTATTTTTAACATTTTATATATACTTATATTTTGAGAGCATTCACACTTGGATTCACTCTTTACAAGAACTGACTAACACACAAGTTATGTTTTAAATCTTTACTTTCAAACATTTTTGAAAGTAACACAAACTTTTAATATGTCAGATCCTCAAGCTTTTATTTTGAAGTGTAATGTCAATTTCTGTCCACAAAAAGGATGTGCACATGAATGCAAATTAAGTGAACCGAGTGTACACTGCGTTCCCAAATGCATGTTAAATCACAGAGATGGAGTTTGTGAGAAGCAGCATTTACTTACTGTGAACCGAGTCTTATAAGCTTCTCTGAAACACAAAGCACAACTTAAATGACTACATACTTCATTAAATCAAACCCTTTGAATTTGATAAGATATATCACTATTTCAGTTTTATTTTGATTAATTGTGCAGCTTCTCCCTATGCGGGTCCCTAATGAACCAGGTCAGGAAATCCTGATCCATGTATTCTAATATGGGGGTGCATATTTTTTCCTGTATAAATATAAATGAGGCATGTGCAAAAATTCATATTTTTAGAATTGACTACTAGTCAGTCTGCTGTTTGAACAATTAGTTGGCTGATCAGCTTTAAGGAAGCCTGTAAATTTGAGGTTGGATACAGGTTTACCAGACTTCAGTCTAATCCAACAATTTCTCGGTTGTCCAGTCTTTCTTACGTTTTTGTCATTTCTTTTTCAGCCTTGGTACTGGACCTGGTCCTGGTCGGCGTGGTGAAGGCTGTAGTGCGGCGCCGACGTCCTGCTCATAACCGTATGGACATGTTTGCCACGTTCTCTGTGGACCGCTATTCCTTCCCATCAGGCCATGCCACACGTGCTTCAATGTGCGCCCGCTTTCTGTTGGCCCACCTGGTGTTGGCGGCCCCGCTCCGCGTTCTTGTCCTGCTCTGGGCCACTTTAGTTGGTTTTTCTAGGGTTCTCCTCGGACGCCATAATGTGACGGATGTGGTGTTCGGTTTCTTCATGGGCTACTGGCAATATAATTTAGTTGAGATTCTCTGGTTGTCTCCAGTCATGTTGCAAAACACGATGGGACAGCTTCACTGAGAAGTTAAGACTGAGGAAAGGGAGCATTATTTGGAGGATCTAAACTGTAATTCCTTGGTGTCTGTCAAGTTGCTTTATGTTAGTTTTGTGCGTCTGCTAATTTGAATGTAAAAATTAATCCATCTGCCAGTAATGTCCAGGTTTAAATTAGATTCTACTGGACAGATAAATGAGTTGAAGTGTTAGGAAGCAGTGAAAACAGACGTCTTATTTTCCACCCCTTAAAGATTTTTCGCCTCACACTCGCTTTTGTGTCAATACTGTGATGCTAGATAGATTATGCCAGTGTTTTTTTTTTATCATTTGCCATTGTGCTCTGCTTTTTTGAGGGTTGGTGCTTATCAAAAAAGGAGGATGATTGGGGCGACCTCTGGCTTTTGACTTCAATGTTCTTGTTTACAGAATAAAACCTCATCTTTGTGATACTACATATTTATAGCACCTTAAACAATAGGCGTCATCTTGAAGATTTTGCCTCCGTTTTAATTAAAAACCAGCCAGATCTCTAATTAACATGAAAAGCTCTTCATTAATGAATGTTTAATTAGGCGAGGGAGAGGATTTGAAACATTGCGGTGAATTTCAGCGCAGCTCTAATACCTTTAGGGTATGTGGCGTCCTCAAGAGATATTCACAGGGAAGTTGTTATGTTATCTCTGAAGGGTTATATAGGGTTCCTCATTGCTCTGATATCTATTTATTTATCTATCTATGATTTTCTGTTCTTTTACTCTGCTTTAACTGTGACTGTGCTAGCCACTGTTAAATTGCATTGCACTTCTTATTGGTCTATGAAGTAGGAGTTTCCGTTATATTTTGCTATGGTCTTAATACATTTGCTGGATTTTAATTGGGTCAAAGCCTCAACTGTGATTATAGAGCCATAAATCACGTTTATGCTGCAAACTTTTGCCGTATATCACAGGAGAATCTGTCATAATAGCTGCTTTTCCACTGTTGAGCCAGTGAAAGCCAGGGCTTTAAATGGGCCGGGCTGGGCTAATATCCTCGGACCTGTAGCACTGAGCCCAAAACCACACTGCGTTTCCACCGTCGGGCCAGAAGCTCCACAGCGCTTCACTAAAACCCGCCCGTAACACTCCTCTCTGGAACAACGTCACACAAATCCATCATTTCACCAACAAATGGAAGTTTTATCAGAAAACTAGTCAGAAAGAAATCACTGGAAACTAGCGAGATTGCAAGATATCCCTCTCTCCAGTGACAGTCCCAATACAGTTATATTTTCAGACAGAGGAAGCTCCCGAAAAAAACACAAGCTAAATGGATATCAGACAGTCCGGTATAAAGAGACGAGGCGTACTGACAGATAAAATAAATACTGTTATAGCCTGTATGATTTGTCTGATTTCAAGCGTTCATATTTACCATGTTTACTATGGTAATGGTTAACGCGCATAGTCTTTTGCATCGCATATGGTGATCAGAATCCACACCGGATCAAAAACCCAAGTTATTTCAAACACTCGCTGCTGTCTGAAAGTGAGTTTTGAGCTAAAATGATTTTTAAAAGTCTTTAATGCTGATGTCAGCTGGTATATGGAATCATGGAAACGTGACTGGCCCTGGCACACACTAGCACGCTCGCTTTTGGCCTGACAGTGGAAACGCGACTATAGGCCATTTGGTAGCATTAAGCAGGTGTAAATTGCACCATGATGGCATTAATATTTACTAAAGGGCCACCTGTGCAAAATAAGTAGTGTGCTGGTACTGTGGCACTGCACTTTGACATGCCATTTTACTGAGTGATTGCATATTAACAGGTATGTGCCATGGTTTTTACATGCTGTTAATGCATATGTCTGAATACAATGGTGTCACCATGGTACATGTTTAAAAGCCATGGTATTACCAGTGCCATTGGCAATAATGCAACATTTTATAATTTTCCATGCAATACTTTTTCCAACACTTATTTCCCAAATTCTTAAAGTAAAATGTGAATGAGGAGGGGTTTTGTTTGTTGGACTTTTTTTTTCTTTTTCTTTTTTTATAGACTTTTCTCTTACTTGTTGAAAATTGAAAATGATTTGGTCTTATTCTACTCTACCATTCTTTTTATGAGTCACCCTCTTGTAACCAAGTTTGGCTATTCTAGTGATTCCAGTGAATATAACACATACAATGAAATTACAGAGAAATCTTTGCTTCCAGTTTGGAGGAAATTTGTCCTCACATAAATTCCCAAACTCATTAATTATAAGGGTGTCTACATATTTCCGCCATGTATATCTTGTTACATTCCACTTGTTAACTGGTTATCCAAAACTAATCCACAGGAAGGATCTTATTAGTTGGCTATATAGTGATTGGTAACTTTATTTTAGTGTCTCTTCTCCAATATAACATGTTACTTTAATTAATTACTATTGTGGTAATAATTGTGTAATTATTTTTAATTTCAGTTTAATTCCACACATTTTTCTTCTCTGTATCCTGATAATTGACACACACTCCGTTCAAAGAGAAGTATCACACACACAGCCTTACTGGAATAGTTGAAACACTGTCAAGCTGTTTCACTGTCAGCTTTAACTAGTCATAGTTCTGACTCTTTCAAAGTACAGTGGCATCAAAGATATTATAAATCCACCCCCAAAATCTAGAGATCTTTTTTTTCTTCATTCTTTGAAATATGAATACTCTGGCAGCGCATTCCCTCAAAATGATTCACTGTAAAGTGCGTGTCTGGTGAAGGTTGTGGGCGTTTTGACTGTTTCAGGAGAGCCATATGCACTTTTTCTTGTTCTTTCTTGAAAATGCAATCGTTTGATCATTTGTGCAATATCAAAATACAAGTGACAGATGGCAACCAATAAATATAAAATATTATTTTTAAATTGCAAAAACTTTGTGCTGTTTTAGTGATGTGTTTGTTTGCAATGGGAAATAGTGTATTGGGTTTTTTTTTTTTTTTTTGGATATGGAGAGGGAATATGGAAGACATTTTTATTTGATATTTCAGGTGTTTGGAGTCATTTTAATTGGCTTCATCAGCTATTTCATCTGACATTTGATCGTTGTTTAGTTTTCAGTGAAAAGTGCGGCGATTGTACATTCACCAAAGTGAAAACTGCAAGGGATTCATTAGCTTAATGTGGTACCTGCTTTGACTGTTCATTTGTGTTGTAAAATATACTCTACATTGATCATAATGTGATTGTATTTTCTAAATAAATATGAAGATGTCATGGCTTTGCCTTGGAATTGTGTTTTCTCCAAATTTCTAGTCTCACGAGTAAAACTGTAATTCAAAAGTCCTCTTCTCTTCAGCTTAATATCTGTTTTACAGTGAGTTCTGAGGAGTTTTAATGATATATATGCCTCCATATGAAGATGTGGGACAGTTAAATCTGTATGAAAAGAAAATAAATGTTATAGAACAAATAGCAAAACAATCTGGTTCTGTGATGTAGTGCGAACAGGATCTGAGACATTTACATAATGGAAACATTTAAGAAAGTATTTTGGTCATGTTTCAGCATAAACTCCTCTGAAAATTTGTTCCAGCTTTTGTTCCAGATTTGTTCCACCAAATTTCAATATTTGTTTTCCGCCCATGTATTTTGGTGCATACATCATTTTTTGACAGGTCCCATATCATGTATCACACAATGTGTTCATGGGAAACAGCGATGTAAATGCTTGATAGACTACACTCTTAAAATTCAAGGTTCATTATTTGCATCGAGTTCTGTGAAGATGCATACTTAGAAAAAAATGTTCTTTTAAGAACTGTACACTGAAAGTTTTTGGGGGAACTAGGGATGCACGATATAGGATTTTGGCCGAAATTCGATATGCCGATATTTTCAAACTAATTTTGCCCAATGCCGATATTTTTTTTATTTTTTTAAGTGCAAAAAAAGCTTATTAAAGCTTCTATTAAAGTTCTCACTCAGTCAAGAGCAGTGAGTGATTTCCTCTGTGTTTTGTTGTTTTATGAACATTAACGGGATAGTTCTCCCAAAAATTTAAATTGTCATTATTTACTCTCTCAAGTTTCTTTCTTCTGTTGAAATTATAAAAGTTATTTGGAAGAATGTGGCTAACCAAACAGTTGCTGTACTTCAGTGACTTCCATAGTATATTTAAGCACAAGAAAGAAATGAATACAGGTTTGGAACAACATTAGAGTGAGTAAATAATGACAGAATTTTTATTTCTGGGTGCAGTATCTCTTTAAGGACAAGCGGCAGCATATTATTACTGTCTCTTTAAGAACTGCACGCAACGCGTCTAATATACACGCATTTGACAAGCGGATTTTCTCTGTTTGCTTTCACTTTAGACATAACCAACTTTGTTTATGTAAACCTTGTGTATTTGACAGTATCAGCGCAATAAGACTCGAAAGATTAGTCCAGTATGCAGGCGCTGTGACAGGCTTCCTGTGAGCGTCGCGTGTACGCGCTCAGAAAAGCGCATGTTAGAACAGCGCATCAGCACATGAATGACATGTTTACCTAGCAAGACTTTGACGCACATGCAAATAACGTTTACATGTGATGTGATGTGAATGTACGTCGCGTTGTAGGCTACAGTATGTTGAGATGAAGGCGCCAGAATTGAACTGATAGAATGCACGATACTATGATTTTTCTTCAAAAGCAGATCATGGAGACATTTTAATCGTCCACGATCAAAAACCGTGAGACGCACACCCCAGTTTCTGGCGCTCATGCTTCGTTCGCGGTCGTCACGTGCGCATAGGAAACACGCCACCCTATCGGCAAGGCTCATCGGCAGAAATATTCATATCATATCGGCCGATGCCGATGATGGTAATTTTAAGCTTTTATTTGCCGATACCGATGTTGTCCCGATATCATCGTGCATCCCTAGGGGGAGCCTAAAATGGTGGTTCTATGGCATTGCTTTGAAAACCCCCTTTTGGAATCTTTATTTTTAAGTGTAAACATTAGAAGTGCACTTCAGTCCAGTTTCTCACTGCTCTTCATAGCACTTTTGAGTAAGTTATGTTTATTTTTATTTATTTATTTATTTTTTAACAATTAGTTTCTTTTTCACTCCAGATTTAAAATTCTTGTCGTTTAAATTGCACGTCTTTGTACGTGTTCAAAAGAGTAAATGAAATTTTATTTTTGCACAATAAAGGCCCTGATATACTTTCCGCTCAATCCGAAGAATGAACTGGTGTGACGTCAAAATGGTATTTGTTTTTTGTTCGAAACAGCTTGTT